GTGATATCTTGAAAGAGGTGTTATGATTTGGTCAGTTGCAGGCCAAAACTCTGTTTTCAAGGATGCAGGAAAAAATTGAAGAGTATTGTTGACAGGTGAAACAAAACCTTAACATTCAGTTCCTAGAGAAAACAGTAAGCAAGACTAGAACTAGGTAAGATGTAGTAAAAATGTTGTGTGGTGCCTACAAGAATAATAAAGTAGTGCTAACATGAAATGTGACATTTCAGGAAAAATCGAAGTGCAACTTTTGTAAAGGTGTGGCACAGTTCCGTTTATCATGTAATAACCTCAGGAACCCAGGCTGGTAGGTGGAAGTTTTGTTCATCAACATGACAATATTGAAATCCAAACAGACAGACCAAATTTAAATCTCCCAAATTACAAATCAGAAAAAGAATTTTTGACACAGTGCCTGGCTCCACTGAAAATGTCTTATATCCCAATAATTTTGATTGTCACTGTGCATAGATGTACAGTTTGTGTTACTGTCTTTCTAGGCTTACTATTGCCTTTGGCAACAATACGTCTCCTTCCCTAAATAAGAGTGGTTATCACACGTTACTGATGTATCCTAAATGTGCCCAAGAGTGGATCAAGTACAGTGCAGGCTTATAATGAAAAGGCTGAGTATTTCAGAAGGGGATTAGACAAGTTTCACAGCTGCACATGCTGTTGTAACAAGTGTGTCAGGTTCCAACAGTCCTGGCAGAGATGGCTTTCTGTAAACTGTATGATATCTGCAGCTGATAGAGAACAGTTTTTCAAAGTAATCTGTGGAGTATTCAGTTTTGCTTTTGCTGGAAGATTGCAGAGGCCATTGTTAATCGTAATGTCTCAAAATTCCCTGTATCATTACGTTTTAATGCTCATTACTTCATTACCTTTTTCATACATGGTTTAGGGTGTTGGGGGAGGGGATTTGTCAATCTAGGATCAGCAATTTAAGGAATTTATAACTTGTAAACCTTGTTCAGTTGTTTATTGTGATGTATTGTTCCCCTTTGAAAACTTCAATAAAAAAAATGTCAAGCCTGCCGTAGTCATATAAAATAGCTACAATTCAACATTTTGTGATGTTCTGAAGGAACTTGTTCTTTTTTTAGCTCTTTTTTTCCGATTATTTTTAGGATATTATGTTTTTCAGCTCTTATCTAGAGCATCACAGTTTTTAAATTCTTATTGTACAGTCTAAGAATTGCATTTTAAAATAAACTATATTCTAATTGGGTTAGCTAAGTTGTTTATCCGTTTCTTGCATATTTGTTTTACAGTTTCTGGCCTTTGTTGTAAAAGCTAATTTTAGATCTTGTGCTTCGCTTCACAAATAGTAAAAAAACACAGTTTTGGCCATTAGATATTATTTAAAATACAGTAACAACATGCATGCACGTTTTGAATGTTCCACTTGAATTTCAATGTAACCATGACTATACAGTATGACTCACAAGAGATTAAATATACTGCATATAATTGTAATTTCCAGTTACATTTTTGTAGCTAATGGAATAAACAGAAATTCCAAGATTTAAGTCTCATTTAATCAGACAACTAATTTTCAATTCATAAAACACTTCCTGCACTTCAGCAACTAATTGGGGGGAAGGGTTGTCTGTTATTGCCAAATCCTTTAAATTATGAATGACCTTATTTTGGCCCAAATCACACTATTATATGGGAAATACATCTATACTACATTTATATGCTTTAGGGATCTTTTGACTTATTCTTTTAACAAATGGCAATTAACACAAAGAAAATTGTTCCTGTGCTTTTGTATCATAACTGTACAAACTCTTTAGTTCATGTGTCATAAATATACTATCACAATATCCAATACAATTGATAAATATACTATGAAATTTGCTAAGGCAAACAGAACAAAAACGACATCCATTATAAGCAATTGATCTACCCCAATGGGTACCGTTGCTGTTCCTAAATTTTAAACTTATGTGCTATTTATTTTCACCTTATTTTATTATTCGTGCAAATCAGGTATTTCTGATTTCCCAAAATTACCCTTTAGCAGATTTTGTTCATTAAATCCGAAGCCTGTTAAATCAAGTGTTTACTGTAACAGGACTTTTCATTTTGAAGATTCTTTCATGGGAGAAACGACATTCTACAGGTAACTACCAAAATAAAGAAAACACTAGAGTATCCCTCATATGTATCACTACTTTCAATATATTGTATTGAAATATATTGAAATAAACAGTAGGTGCTTATAGGTGAAGTATATAGAAAACAGGCTTCTCCACACAGGTATGTTTCATGAGTTAATTAAGCAATTAACAACTCATCATCATACACCTGAAGAAGGCTCCACAGCCAAAACACTGAGTCTTTTTTTCTTTTCCTTAACCTTAAACCTTTACCTGTTCCTTAACATCCCACCATGCTTATGGCCAATATAAAAATGCCAGGCAGGCCCAGCTGAAGCTAGAAGAAGAGATCTCAGTGGTTCTGAGAGAGTGGTGATTGTTGGGGCCCGTTTGCAGGAGCTTCAGTGGTGAAGTCTACTCACCGTGCTGATCCTTCAGGAGAAGCAGTGGCTAGGGTGCTGGTGGCATTGAAGTCTGAGGGAAAGTCGTCATCGGCTGGAGGCACCTGAGGACGCAACCGCATACTCCTCGACCGTGGTGTCGGTGCACTGGTTCAAGATGCAAGGCAAGAGAGACGTGTAACCCTGTATTAACTGCAAATGTTCCTCTAATGTGTGAGCAGACAGTTTTATCAATTCCAGTCTCTCCCGAATTTCACAGAGAGAGGTACTATGGCCAGGTTGCAGTGCATAAACCCCTTAGTACACCTATGAAATACGCTTTTGTGAAGTGCAAAGCGGACAGCAGTTTACTGAGCAGTGGAAAAAAGTCATACGGTTAAATGTGTGATTTTTCATCTTGCTTTCAACAAGCGCTCGAGTAGGTGTACACTTGTTTCCCACTGTGAAGGGTTCTGGCGCCTCTGTTATGGTGTGAGGTGCATTTGCCTTGGCAGTCTACTATTATGTCTACCCAACCCCTTAGAGGGAAGTGCAAATCAAACAAAACCATTTCTGTCCTGGTGGGAGTGGAATCTCCCAGGATGACACAACCCCATCCACAGGACAGGAGTGGTCACTGAATGGTTTGAGGAGCATGAAAACAATGTAACTCACATGCCACGGTTGTCCCAGTCACCAAATCTCAACCCAATGGAACACCTAATGGGAGATCCTGGAGCAGCGCCGAAACAGCGTTTTCCATCACCTTCAACAGAAACCCCAGATGATGGAATTTTTTGTGGAAGAATGCTGTCACATCCCTCTAGTAGATTTCTAGACACATAGAATATAAGCTGTTGTGGCAGATTCTGCATTGGGTGTCTCTCTTTTCTCTAGATTTCAAATATGTTGGGCTTTTACTCAAAATTCAAAGGTGTATTCATACATCGAATAGCACTGGACACATTTTGGCACTTACGGCTCATAAAGATTTTCATCCATTCATTTTCTAACCGCTTTGTCTAATACAGGATCATGGGGGAGCCAAAGTTTACTCCATCAAGCAAGGGAAACAAGGCAGGATACACAGTATACCCTAGATAGGATGCTAATCCGTTGTGGCACACACAGACAAATCATGCACAGACTCACACTAAGGCACATTTTCCCAGAAGCCAATTCACCTACCAGTATGTCTTTGGACTGTGGGAGAAAACCCGAGCACTTAGAGGAAACCCACACAATCTCGGGAGACAGTAAATATTCCACGCAGATAGTACACCAGGTCAGAAATTGATCCCAGGGTCCCAGAGCTGTGAGGAAGCAATGCTAACCATTGCACCACTGTGCTGCACTAACCATTTTCAAGAAACAAATACTTGTTTTTTAAACTAGTTTTTCAGGTAATTAAAGATTTTTTTTTTCAATAAAGAAGGAGTTTTTTTTCACCTGTCTGTCTCGGGGAAAATTCCATATAAAGTTATTTGAACAGCAGGTGTCTTGGCACAACCGTAATATCCCAAAGTTCAAGGCTCATAAAAATTTGCCTTATTGTATTACATATCAATGTTACATTTTTTTTAAGCCTTGGTTTAATTTGAGTCCCCAGTCATACGTACCAGATCTGGTTCATGTGTCGTTCACTTGTATCCCGAGCCAGGGTTGACTAAAGTCTTTAGGTTGAAAGGTCACTAATTCACAAGCAGTAACTGTGTGTCGGGCTCCATTGTAAATCTTGGGGATGTTCACTCCTTGGCGTCTCTGTGAAGCCCAAACAGTTAAACCTTTGACCTCTGCTGTGATTTGTTTTACCATGAATGCTCACAACTTTGATGGCAAGTTAAAAGAGAGGCTATTTGAGCCATGTTAGGCTAATATATACAACAATGTATCATTTAATATTTTCAGTCTTTCAGTACCCTTTTAATACTCTTGGAGCAACAAAATGCAGAATTGTAAATAAACCTTGTTAATTCCGTTTTCCTGCAATTGATCCTCAATTAAATATATAAGGCAAGCGTTTAATTTTCTACTTGGTATTTTAATTCGTCTGCATTAACATAGGTAAAGAACCAATTTATACATGTTTTCCTTTCTTTTCAATAAAAACATATGACATTACCAAAAAACATACAGAGCACTTATATGCAAGAAGCTTTCGTTCACAAATCGAGGAGCAATATTAAGGGTAGTCATCTTGTCAAATGTGCAAGATAATAAGAAAACACCTCAGCCAGCAAAAGCAATTTAATAATGTGCTTACTTCTCAGGAGTTGAAATATTCTTGGTGTGTTTTATTTATAGACAGTCTTTACAAATATCAACAACAGACTTTTTTTTTCTGCTGAAGTCTTTAAGAACTAGTAATCCACTACCAAACCTCATCCTTCCCCTTTTAACTAATGAAAGGTTAATAGTCTCCTAAATTAGCCTAATTAGAGACACTTCTCTTTACCGAAGGCAGAGTCACAAAAGACAGTGCCAGTAACTTGGTGATCCAATTAGATGTGCATTTTAGACCATTACAGCCACAGTCTGTGGAGGATAGTGTTTTATTTGTCACCTGGGAGCACAGCTCTGAGGCTGGGTCGTGGTTTTAAACAGCAGGACATCTTGTAAATTGCCTGGTCCTGCCGCCTGGGCTGATATACAACAGAGCAGCCATTCAAGTGATCTTGCAAGGAATGTCTCCAGCACCGAAGGAGGGCAGCCGGAAGTCAGATCTGTTTTAAAGAGAACACAGGGATGAGCCGCTCCAGGACAGTGGTTCTTTTGAAAGAAGCATTCCTTTGCTTGTCTCCTCTATCAGCTGACGTGGTGCAGGCCTGAACTCTAAGGTACACATGAAACTAGTCCTAGTGTTTCAAACGAGCTGCCATGTGCCTGCAAGTGATAAATCAGCATTGTTTCCAAGAACAAGATTCATTTTTGCTCCATTTTCATGTGCATCTGTGTTTGTAGGACTGGTATTTCGTTTCATGTGAATCTGAATTCTTTTTCACAGTGAGGGCTTTGCGCTGTTTGCAATGCACACAACAAGCTTTGCCCATCTGCACAAATCGATCTAAAAATCTAAGTAGAATGGCTGTTTGGAAAATATGTTTTTTTTTTTCAACTACACAACTTGTCAGAAGATATTTTGAAACTCCTTAATTCAGCTCTGCTGTTGTCAGAGGGGGGGAATGTATCTAAATAACCAAATCAAGAATGAGAAACAGTTATAATTAACATCTATAGGGCAATTCTTTTGGGAGTTTTGATTTCTCTGAAGTTCAGAGGTAATTGTTAAATTGAGTTTTGTTTAGTTGCCATATTTCTCATTATGGAAGCCATTTCTATAATAAAGATTATGTAAATTCATAAAACGCTGTGGCTGTGTTTTCTCATCAAAGTGCAGAAAGCACAGCTAGTGACACTTCAGAATAAATACATTTCTGAATTTCCCCCAGAGTCTGTTGTGACAGTTATTAGACACACCATACATAAGGAAAGACTAATGTTACAAAAAATAAGTTGTCTTCGCCAAACCACAGACCATTGTGATTGATATTTGTTTGTTTTAAGAAATGTTTCTGGAAATGGCAATGCATGTGAAAGAGGCTTTCATAAATCAGAAATTAGGAAATTAAAAATCTGGAGTGGTTTAAACTTTTTTTTACTTGTTGTGCCATCTGATTCTCATCATTCAGTCACAATGGCAATTTACTGTACAGTAGGAAAGACAAAAAGGGATATATTAATAAGACTGGCATAATGAGAATGCTTTTATTTTCTGTAGTATATATAATATATATATATTAGTGATACATAATATCACCAAAAATTAAATATTGCCTTACCCTGCCAATACACTGAATAAATAAAATTGTGTTCTATTGTATAATTATACAATATAATATTGACGAGAAAAACTCAAGCAGTTTTTGAAGGCTTCCAAACCTATTTCAGCAACTTGTATTATTTGTAATTGTATTATGGCTAAGATAAATCCTACAACAGTTTGAGTTAATTGGCCAAATGGTTCCTGAAGAAAAGCATCAAGCGTGACAGAGTGTTTTGCCAGGCAGGTGACAATGATACGGTGGGGGCCTTACGGAGTATCACCGCAGGCCGCGAGGCGCAAGTGTGAAGCAGGCATGGGCGCGATGAAACCTGCTGAATTTCAAGTCAGTTAGTGCAGTGGTTTGACAGTGATGGTTCACATTTTGTGAACAAACTGTCAGACAATCATTGTGGTTTATACAGGAACCCCTTTTCGCCACATGTGAACTGCACTGCTATTAGCACCACACCCACCACTTTTGGAGTTATTTGGTCAGGCGGTGCTTGAGCGGACACAATTTGCTGTGTTTCAGCAAGCGATTGAAGACCCAGGGTGGACGGGAAGATATAGCATAGTGCAGCATAGTGCGAGCTGCAAATCACAAGCAAATCACAAATGTTAGTTGCCAGGTTTCAATTTAGTCTGCAAAGTATTTCCTAAGTCTAAGGCAAAATCGCAGCCACGCAGCCATCAGGAGTATAGAAAGGTCACAAAGAAGAGTCGGTCTTTCTTCCTGTACATACACACAAGATTAGCAGTGCATCGGATATCTATTGTAAACCCCTGTATTCATGGAGATTTTGAAATCACTAAAGTAAACATAAAGTATGTTTTTGTTCTAATATGATCAAATCTGCGCTTAGAATTACCCAATAATAAAATCTAATATTGGGTTAGGCATTAAAATAATGTTCTGATCACAAACTGAAGGACTGTTAGGGAGTTTTGACTTAGCTCTGCCAGTACTTTTGGAGGTATTGAATATGCATCCCATTGAGATTTGAGTTGTACAGCATGTATAACGTTTGGAGGGTATAGGCCTAAATCAATTTTGAGCATGAGGAGTTTGCCTGAAGAGCCGCCTTTGCCAAATCAGTTTGTGATTGGCTTCAGGCCTAAAATATGTGTAGGAAACCTGACTGCACACTTCTGGCTGTTGATTTAATATGCCTAATGTCAACTGAATCAGAATCAGAGTTCATAAGAGTTTATGGCTTTTATGAACATTCAGGTTAGTCTAAAACCTTAAATAAACCCAGGTTCATTTTTTTCCCAAGTTTAATAGCTTATCTTGTTGTATATCTCTCATTCTTTCTTCATATGAAGTTGCACAACTGCCCAGCCTTCGAGCCTGAAAAACTGTATCAAAAATGGAAATAAAAAAAACTCGCTGTAGGCTCCTGTTTGCTGGAAAATGTATTAACGATGACACATGTAATAGTTCAGGTGGCTCAGTAATTCAGTTAAATGCCTCATTGCTGGGGGATTATGGGGGGGATCCTGACTCAGAGTCTTTTAAACTGACCGAGTTACTGAACGCCTTTGTGCTCAATCCCTCAGTTGAGACATTTTTAACCCAAGTCCTGTTGCACGTGACTCTGCAAAAAGTGTTCATGATGCAGATTTCAGTCTTTTTCATAGATAAGTCATTTAAATTGGTGGTCTGTCTGCAAAACTTCAGAAAGGAATCGTTTAAATCCCCTGCTATGTCATTGCATTTCACTACATCATAGCTATAATTAAACTCATGTGCTGGATGTGACGTTGATTTGCAGTTTTGCTTCAAATTGTTTTCCTTTGTGAAACTTAATGTGCCAACATTAAAAGATGAGATTGTTCTCCAAGATGGCTGGGCAGCATAAGACGAATTACTGTACAAAGCTAAATCTGAAGACTTACTGTAAGAAAGACACCAACCATGTGGTTGTTCATTTCAACCACAGTGTATCCACAGCTGCAGGAACCTGCATTTCCTTTTCTGACCGAACTTCAAGAACAATCTGAATTCTGTTTAGTAAGAGGACACAAATTCTATTATGAGAAATTAAGACAAATGTGAGGCACCCAAACCACATGAAATATGAAATAAAAGAAATCAGACATGAAATAACAGGGCATGCCAATGTTACGAACGGTTCCTCCGTCTTCATTGTGTTGGTTCCAGAGACATGTCTCCCACTCTGTATCTTTGTCATCCAAAGTTAATATTGATCAGGCTGGGTAATACCAAAAACTCCATTTCACTTTTGCAGTACATGCACCAAACCACAAAACTGTGTTTACAGGTGCCATTGTTCAGCGCAAATGTTAAATTCTAGAACAGGAAGTAAGAAGAATAACATTTTACTGTATAACATTGTAGGTTTGTAGACCTTTCCTATGAGGAGATGATGTATCATAATAGTGTCCGCCAACACACACAGTCAAAAGAATCCATGCCTCTTGTCAGTGGCCTGTCCTGTGGGCTTTATGTAACTTGCACAGTGTCCAAGCAACTAATCTATACAGACCCAACCCGCTGTGTCGAGAGATTAGTCCTTTGATGTGAAGAATTTCTGGCAAGTGGCATCACCAATACAGCTTGCGCTATGAGACCTGTTATATTTAGAAAAGGAAGTTCTTCCATGCTACACCCAGAATCCAGTTCACACTCTTCTCACTGGTGCAGTTAGCTGTGCTTTCTGTGGGTGATTTAACATGACTCCACCCCACCGGTTTAATTTGGTCAGTTTTAGGTATGTTTGCCAGTTTTTTTTAGATGTGATGTCATTGGATGCCTTAATTTACTTGAGGAGCAGTTTGTCGCATACCGTGTGTGCGACAAAAGAAATCTGTCATCTGCAGAAAAAAACAAGTTTTGATGCTGTCAGACAAAGTGCGACATCTAAAAACACTATCGCTTTTCATTTTCATAATGTATACATAATTAAAGATTTTAAATGTTATTTAAATATTTGTTTCTGGTGAATATCCAGCACATGTGTAATATAGTAGTTAAAAAAAAACTATAAAACATTTCAGTTTTATATAATTACCAGCATCCGAGATCGAAAGGCACATAAAGAAGCATATTGTCTTTACCACCAAGACACAGTTTTCAAATGAGTCACAACACCACTCTGAGGCCTGGTTTGCCTTTGTTGTCGAAAATGACACACTCAGCAAAATGAGAAAAAAGACAGATGTTGATCATTCTTACTTTATCAGTGATATACCACCATGCTGAAATGAATCAAGAGTTTCACAAATTGACTTTGTCTAGCACCTTGATATCTGTATGGTATGTCATGTTTTTAATTGATTTCCCTGTTTAGTTTTTATTCAGTGCAACATTTGCTTTTTATTCCAACACACTTTCATTCAAGAATCAGAACATTTTTTTAAGAAAAATACTTGATAAGAAGAACAAAAAGAACACCCTGCAATCTTTTTATGTATGATCCCAGAGCTTTTAGATAATCTGTTGAATAATTTGGTTCACAAAATACATAACGCTCATGACAAAACAAAATATGGAAATGCAAGTCATGGCCAAAACCATTTCTGTATGCCAAATATATAAGGCCAAGATTGTGTGCCAATCATTTTTACAACATCTACCTTTTTTTTCAAACATATCTTGCTGTTTGAACAGAAAGTAAATAAGATTATTAAGCATAGGCTGACCAAAAATGACGGGAATAAATTTGTGACGGTTAATGACTTCCAAATTGCCTTAGCAACAGAGTGTCAAAACTTATATTGTTGTTGTTTTCCTCCAGTCATATACTCATTCTTCCAGTTTTATAGCCTCTATTATTGGGTATAACTGGGGCTTCAGCACTTTTGTTTAGGGGTTTCAGAGTAAATAGCCATTACCCAAGGAAACTGCCAGTCTGGGGTTTAATAAGGGCAATTTGCTTCGAGGTGATTTAAAAAGCCTATAATGGTTTGCTACATAATTTGGATTTGGTCTTTGTTTGCTTTTAATACTGTTGCTAGCTCCCATTTCCTGTGAGGATCTATTTTAATTCTCAATTGAATTATATGTACATATTTTGAGTAGGTTTAAAGAAAAACCACAACTATTTTTTCCACAAGAAAATTTCAGATCACCTTAAATGCCATTGACAATTAACTAACATTACTACTTTAAGCTTTTTTTGTGTGTAAGTATCTCTGAGGCAGCAAAGGACAGCAGGGGGCTCTTAAGAATGATTAGAGAATGCCTAAGTTGTTATTATATTTGGCCCAAGAGAGAATTGGAAGTGTTTCATAGGAAGTGTTTCCAGATCTGTGGCTCTTTAAGGGGTTGCATTCCCATGTACTCACTGGAAACTTTTCAGGAAAACATGAATTCCCTTACTCTTTTCAGTTGAGCAATGCAATCCCTCTTTGTCAGCCTCATTCTCAGACCACCTCATCATCTCAGCCTGGGAAAGAGTCGTAACAATGAGAAAGAAATTGCACCCCTGGGCAACGTGAAGAAAATAAGTCACTGATACGGTACCTAAGCCGTCAATAGCAAAGCACAAATTTAACG